ATGGTTACCCAAAAGTAAGCAACAGTACTGTCTCAGGGCTTCATGCTGCAAAGAGCTGTTCACACACTCCGAGGCTGTATAACCTGACGTATGGAGCAACCCTGGTAACCATGGCTGTGGGTCCCATTCATAACTGTGCATGCACAAATTTCATTTGGATCATCATCTGTAATCCGGGTTGCGCAGGGATGAAACAATAAAAAAACTGACAGGAGTGATACAGTTGTAACCTACAGATTTTTGCAAGGTAGAAAAGTATCTAATGGACATTCTTCTTCTGAAGATTTCCCCTATGTGGGTGGAAGATAGAGAGGACTTTCTATACAGATATGACATGTACTTCCCCCTCGCCTTGCAGCTTATCACTTCATCTCAACTATGTTTATATTCTAGGGGTTTTCTTCCTCTTTTCCTTATGAACAGAATTTCTTTTGGTGATGTTTTCCATACAACCTCAGCAGAAGATATAAGTACTCTACGTCTTGTGCCCTGTTTGGCCTGTGCATAACAAGCACCTTGTTATGTGTTTATTTCCCAAGTATTACAGTATCTAATATCAAACCAAAAAGAGGTTATTTTTCTGTGTACATTATCATCACTCCTCTAGAAAAACAGGAATCCTGCAACTATTAGAATGAGTGGATAGTAGATGATTCCTACCAGAAAATACAATAAAAGCCTATATTTCAGATAATCTTTGACAGCAACACACCTCACATTCTGAAACCAAACTTGAATGCCAAAGTTCCACAATTTACAAGACCTTCAGACCAGCAGATTAGGATAAAAACTGCCCTGAGAAGGATTATAATCATCAGTCAGATTTGCCAGTAATTACCATTGTGAATTGAAGTTCTTTAGACTTTAGAAAAGCAATGCACTACTTTTGGATCGAAGAGGTATTTTGCAATACATACACAAATTGTCTGTCCTGTTAGCACTAAAAGAAGGTATGAACGGCACTGAAGTGTGACCAGACTTCTCAGATGGTTTCAATGTCTGGGAAAAAAAGCTCAGTAGGTTCATAAATCTAATATCTCCTTTTTATAATAAAACCTAGAGCAGCAATAATTGCAATAAAGTTTTACAAGGCATCCTGAGAGGAATAAAATACTCACTGTTCTCTGTACCACAGATAAATAAAGCAAAATTAGGGTTTTTTTAAAAGTCCATAAGGAATTTGAATTAACAGACTTTGTAAAGGATGCTAGCAAAAGACTTCTGAGGCAGACTCTAATTACTGGCTGCTTTGATTTTAGTGACCTTCTTTATCTTATCTTTCTAAGCAGATATTTAAACCAGAAAGTTTCAAATGCCCAGACAGTGTAAAGACTGCTTTGGGTACAAGACTAATGAAGATCAAACTTCTGTAAATTGATCTGTATTGTTTTAGTGTACTTCTTCCATTAATCCTCATTCCTCATGACACAAATCTGACCCCTAATCTCCATGCCCATGTGATTTCAGTGGTAGAGATGAAAGGCCAAGACTTCAGTGCTACGTATAGCCTATAGAGGGAAGCCAAAGGTAGTGACAGTTGTAGTGTGTCTGCAGTTGTTAAGAAGTCTTGCAGAATTTCCACAAGTTGATATATCTCTCCAAGCATTGCTGACGCCTCTTTAAGCCTTAATTTAGATTATGCTTTCCAGAGTGCGTGAAAAAATAACAGCAGGTAGAGATACAAAACTACCCAGCCTTATGCAATTACTGCTCACAGTGATCAAGCAATCTTGGCAAGAAGCTGGTGCTCAGCAAGGCAGCTGGAATACACTAAATCTCCCCCACGTTAAATATGACACAGGGAATTCTTCCAACACTTAGCAGAAACATATTGCTATATACTTTATGAAGTGAAACAAAGCAACTAAAGTCAAATGTTCCAAAATATGGTTGTGCGAAGAGTGGACCGCTTAGTCAATGTAAATTAAAATATAAATATTCATACAGTGCTATACCAGTCACAGATGCTTCATCTCTCTAATTCTTATAATTTTTGCTCTTCTGTCCTCACTGCCATCAAACTCCTAGGTTATAGACCATACAGAAAGGAAGAAAATAATCATCTGACAAGTGCTTATGTTATCTGTCAAATACAAGTGATTTGGGGGGATGCTCTACCATAACAGACTTATCTTACACCCACTAAAAGTTATAAAGGGTCTGAAATAAGTGTCATGACTTTTTCTTATTTTACAGCCATAATTAACATTAAAATATTCCTGCACTCATGAATGATCTGTTGCAAATCTTAGTACTTTTAGCTTTTCTGCAAATGACTGAAGTGCAGCCTCAGGCAAATACTCAAATATCAGGGCCTGCAAACATTTGCATACACAAATAAAACATGTATTCTCTCAAAAAGAAAAAAAAAAACTATATTGAAAATTGTGAATATGTTCATAAGATCCATCTTGCCCTGGTTTTCTTCTTTAGCCATACTTTCATTGACTTTCCCCTCATCTTGTCTACAAGCAGTCCTAAAGGACTATTCTTGTTCCTCTTCACTTCTTCCTTTTCAGCCTCTCTTTTGAAGTATCATCTGCGAAAAATTTTGATTACTATCACTCTGCTCATAGCTCAAAGACCACCTTTATTCCCAGACCCATCTTCTTCTATCCAAGCTGAAATCTCAGCCTTTCTCATACCTTCTCACCTCAGCTTCAAAGAGATTAAAGCATGTCTCTCACTGCAGAACCACATTCCTCTACCCTTATGGACTTGCCACTTGCTGATATCCCAAACTTCACATTTTGTTTGCTTCTCTTCCTAGGTTTTCTCATCTAAGTGATTTAAAGGCCACATGTACACAGTGTGGTGAAGGCAGTGCTTAGCTAATTCTGCTTTTCATTTTAGTGGCACAATTCTGATCCAATTCTTTTCTCAAACCTATATAGTCACATTACAGGGCTAACGAGCTCCATCTGCCCGGGGGTCTGGGAATCGAACCCGGGTCGCAGCGGTGAGAGTCCTGCACCCTAACCACTAGACCACCAGAGGCCCCCTAAGGATTGCCCTGTAAGGCAATCCATCTAAGAGAAGGTCACTCTAAACAAACCTACGTCCTGGGGACCTCACTGCCACTGTCCAAGTTTGCTCGGCCCCGGCAGATGAACCTCAGGATTAAAGGGTGGGCTCAGTTCAGCGCACGCTGTGTCTCACCTAAAAAATCCACTGCGCAGGCTCGAAGGGTTAATGACCTTTCCCAAATCTTCGCTCGCGAAGACTGGCCATTATATTATTATTATAGTCACATTACTATGGGATGCTACTCATTTAAATTTAAGCTACCTCAAGAAGTACATCCTGTAAGGCCAGGCACAACTGACTGCTCCAAGTGACTGTCAGATATAAGCTGGACTAGGTGTTTTTGGGACCTTGTGACAAGGAAGAGACAGGTTACAACCTTCTGCATCTGGTTGTGTAAGATGCACCCTCGGAGTGGCTGCATAACACAGGTAATCTGTCACATTACATCGCTTCTTCAGCCTCTCAGCATTTCATATTTTGAATATACCGTGTTCTTTAGCATTGCCCCCTACACCTCCCTTTCACCCTTCAGAATGCTGCAGCAGCTACAGCACTCCCACAAGCTTTAACCATGTTGCCTCTGCCTGTATGTCCCACCTGCCTATATGGCCTGCCATTCTCTCATACATCAAAGAACTGCTCACCACCCCTTTCCAAGCTTTCATAGCTCACTCCATTCAAACACAAAATCTCAGCTCTCAGCCCTGCCTGAGCTGTGATGCGAACACATTGTCCAAATATGTACCATCTCTGCTTTTTCCAGCGCTTCCATTTTGTCACAAAGTAGCAGCCCAGGCATCAGAGGTGCCAATAGAGGTGCCAGCCATGGTAGTGTTCCTTGGCCTTCACTGTCCTTTGAGTCAGTCATATTACAACCCCTGGATGGTAGCTGCTCTTTTTCACCCTCTTTTCCTTTCCTGGAGGTCTATATTGCTTACACAACACCGAGTTATGTGCTTATCTTCTGTGTTTCAGGCAACCAATATATACCTATTTAATCTACCCAGGAAATTCATAAAATTGCAACCTCCCAAGATAACAAAGTCCTTATCCTAACACTTCACATAACTGTCATCCTACACATACTACAATAAATAACTCCTCTACATTTCTTCATTGGCATTAGAAATCCTCTTCAGCCAATATTGTTAATTTTGCTTACATTTTAAAATGGAGGCTGTTCTTTCTGTACAGCTTATTCTCTATTTCATCTCCTACAACTCTATTCCAATCCCACTGAACATGCCAAACTCAACTGGTTTTGACCATTTACCAGCTAAGGGGTAGATGGGAAGATCTTTCACCACTGCTTTCCTGTGCCACCTGAGATGTTGAGCTTCCTTCACAAATCTCAGGTACGTGTCACAAACACATTGTCTTGGCCTCCTAAGTATCCTGTATTTCATTTACTTCATCCTTCACTTCTCCTTGTGGCATCTTTCATTGTCTTCTCAAGCTTCCTCACTCTTTTGGTACTTCTTTTTCCCTTGAACCCATCTTGTTTGCCCAACAGTGCCACAGGGCAACAGGGAACACAAACAATTTATAGTTAAACATTTATATCTGTGTCTTCCTTGTGCATCCCCAATACCATACAAACATATACATACAAGCACTGTGTCAATACCACTGTTGTTCCATAATAACAGGGCTAATTTTGTGAAGTTATAAATCACAATTCAAGCATTCATAAGATTCCTTTCCACCGATCTGTGGCATGCATTTTAACATATCCACACCAGCATTTTATTTTTGTCTAGCTGCAAAGAGTATAATCTGTTGATTACAGTGGATTACCACTTCTCTGCATCCTTAATTTGATTATGGTAATCATAATGTGGTAATCAGCTGTGTGATCATCTCTTCCATCAAGGAAGAAGGAAGTGCAGAATAGCAATCTACACTTGAAAAAGGGAGACAAACTTTCATTTTCTATGAGTAAAACTATTAAAAAGGTAGGAATGACTTCTGACCTTTAGCCTGCGGTCTTGGTCTCCACTGCACAGAGAATTTACAGACACTTTGAAGGTCTTCCATGCTGGATTTAAGTTATTCATCACAACCTGTGAGTGAAAATAAAAAAGGGACACATTAACATTTCTACATCTCCAAAACGAATGCTAACAAGAGCCACAATTTTCAATACAATACGTTAACCAGAAAGAGAAAGAAAGCAGAGCTCAGCTGGAGTTTTCAGAAAAACATGCATGGAATATGTGTCCTTGAGCAATCCGCAGTTTGAAACACTCCTCTGGAAAGCCCCCAAAAGGAGCACAGGTAGGAAATAGACTCATATTTCCCTGCATATATCATGTGTAGATCATGCTGAAGAAATTGCTCCAGCACTGCCATGCCTCAGCAGGAGTGTAACTCACAAGGGACAGGTTGTAGAACTGAACTGGAAGCCATGGAAGAGACGCAGGAGTAGGCAATAGGGATGGGCAACATCAATTTACAGGCACATTGGTTTGCCTGGCTAGAAAGACTTTATGGAATCCATAACAGGCTTATAAACCCAAATACCCACCGCAGCTCCACCCTGTACACATAAATGCTGCTTTTTAAGATAATGCCAGTCATTAGCAGGGAAGCAGTAATGTCACTGGGACACAAGAAACAAATGTAAAGCACTCAGATTACAAATGTCTTTAGCACCAGCACTCTGGGAGGAGGTAGAGAAGATGCAACATAGCATTAGTGGGAAAATATGATACTATCTGTAGCATGGTTTTGGCTAAATATCATATCTGTAACTATGGACCTTCAAACAGAGTATCTGCCAATTTATTTAAATTTGGACCTTTGGTTTCAGTATCTTCTGCCTTTACTGTAAGATACATAAATCAAGACCTGATACCCACTAGTTAATAATTACACTAGAGTGTAACACTAGAAACTGTTTTTAAACGTGAGTGTTTGCAATAACATTTGTGATATGGGAGGCATAAACTATTCCTCCTGACAGCCCTTCTATGCCCTTGGTGAGTAAATCCAACTCTATCCCTTACCTCAGTTCTATGAACAAGTTGCTGGGTTGCATCATCATTCACGCGAAAAATCTCCAGGAAAGGATCAGATTTGCTGAAAAAATCCTAAAATAAAATATAGGACAGGTTACTCTCAAGGATTCTTTTTCTTTGAATTTTGCAGGCACAACGCACTGGTGCTTCCCTGACTGCTAACGACAAAGGAGAGCCAGCATAGTTTTAGAGAGACCTCTTGGTGTCTCTCAGCAATGTTTCATTCTTGTCTTTGTCCACAAGGATTTCCGTGGCACTGTTGTTGTACCCAGTTTGACTATTTAGTCATAGCATGTAGAACGGTAAAATGTCCTTTTCCCTTCTTACACCTAGTCCAGATTCCTGAGCTTTAGCCCCTTCATTCAGGTAGCTTGTTTCTTTCTGTCTCCATACCTGTTTGGTCTTTTAACATCAGTTTTATGATGTATTGAACTTTGAAGCTTATTCTACAGTGGGGTTGAATTTCACACTATTCACCCACCCTCTCAAAACATAAGTTAATTGGCCAAGACATTGTGTGCTACCAACTGTCAAGACAGATAGAGATGGTTAGAGAAGCAAGACCTCTTTAGGATGTGATAACATGGTCTGTGCTAAGACGACAAACAGAGAGGGGGAATGCAGAAAATAACTTGATATCTCTAAGTACAAGCAAATCTGTGACAGAAAACTGAGGTTCATATTCATATACCCACTGCACTGCAGAACACCTTCCCCTAGTCTTGCATTCAGCTAACAATCCTGAACTGTCTTACACAAACCTAAATTAAGTTGCTTTCTATAGCGCTGCTGCAGTTTGGCCAGAGACACTTTTGTTTCAACATCTCATTTATTCTGGACATGCTGGCTGCAGAGGCAGAAGAGTGGTTGGGTGTTAACCCTCCACAGCTGGAGGGGGAAGCTTCAAATTTCTAACTGTGCAATGCTGGAAGAGCAGGATTTAAATGGACTAAGCCTTATTTCCTGTATTTCAAGTCCTTTCCTCATTTTTCTCTTCAAAAGAGCACATGATTAACTTGTGCATAAGAATATTATTCTTCTCTGTAGGCCATATCCAAAACCACAGACCTCCATGTCAGCTTGGGGAAATGAGAAATTCTGTTTGCTCTCCAAGTGTTTCTAGAATAGTGGTAGTGTAAAAATTATTGTAATACATGCAGTTCTACAAATTTCTCATCATAAATGTCCACCACACTTATTTTTTACTGGCTGGATAGCCATTGGGATGGGAAGAGTTTTGGATAAGATGCTAGCCAAAGTCTGGGCACACCACTTTGGTCAAATTTATCATTAGGGCATTTTCACAATTCTGCAACTACAAAACAAACAAACAAATCAGGGCTTTGAAAAGAGACACCTGAATTTGAATGTCTGGAGAAAGAAGTAAGTCCCTAGGGACCAGGAAGCCTTGGGAAAGGCTCAAACAACCTAAAGTCTTGTCACGTCCTAAAAATGACATAATGTGTTCAGAGTGCTGTTCTGTCAATGGTCTGTTTCTTTACCTCCTAAAGAAAAGTTAACAGCATGTTCAGGAACTGATGCAAAGCACGTGAATATGCATTTGTTAAATCTTATCATGGGGAGCACAAAACAACAAAGCTGCATTTTTACCTATTTGTTCCAATTACACAGTAAACAGGACATTTTCTTTTAAAGTGTGTAAAACCAGTGCAAAAACCAACAAAGTCTGTAACTCCAAGATTTGCCTCAAGGCCCTGATATACATTTAGTATCTGGACTCCACTCAGCACTTGAAACTCGTAGTATATACAGGATTTACTGCCAGATTACCAGTGCATAGCAAAGAGAACAAGCAGAGAGTGAGGATGCTGGTTGAATCACAGTGACACTAAAATCTACAGTCCATAGGGCTAAAAAAGATTGAGCTGCCTCTTCTCACACATAGGGTATACTGACTGAAGCTGAGTATAAGCTTAATATTAGCAGCTTTTTTATCAAACATGAATTTGATAAGTTATTTGAAAGAAAACACCTGAAAATGATACATCCAAGGATTGCACCCTGGAGTGCAGAAAAATTCAGAAAGGAAACCAAGAGTTCATAAAAGACTCAAAATATAGTATCTTTCCCAGCTGAGTATCATAAAGCTGTAACAGTATCAGCACAAGGGAAGTAATTTTTAATATCTGGTTTTAACTATCAAGGTAATACCACATAAACGGAAAGATTTTAATACTGGATGATGGCTTATATCATTCCCCCTTTAATGCAAAAACAAAGCCTAATTCCTTTCAGAATTAAGGTACAAATAAAAAATCCTTGTATATTGAAGAAGCTTTGTGGTAAGTAAAAAATGACAAGCTGAAGAAACATTTGCTTTCATAGCTATTAACATTTTCAAAGCTTTTTGATTATTATGCTGCATCTAACAGCTTTGCATTATCTCAAAAGAATATCCTCTGAAATGAGAATAGCAGCAATATAATGTTGTGCTATTTTAATAATATATAAATGATTAATATAATTAATTTGCTAGTGGTATAATGCACGTTGTTCTTTCAGTATGTGCAGCAGTCACACAGTAATAACACATGTACATAGCTTAACCTTTAAAATTTTATCTACCTCTGCTTCTAAGCACCTAGTTTGATACATCTTTTAGAGATTAATTTTCAGAGCATGACATTTTTTAGAATTCAGGTTTGGGGATTAAGGCAATGGTCCCTCAAAAAAGGGCTGAAATAGCCAAAAGACTAAAATTTTGAAAATTCTTCAGCAGCAAGACAGGGCATTTGAGGACTTTTTTGAGAGAGTAGTTTAATACTGGGGAACTATATAAAAAAGCAATATTAGCTTGGATTTTGCAGACATTTGCTGGGGAATCTTTCCCAAACAATAACTCTCACAGACTAGGAAAAGCAGTTTGCCTGCCTCAGTGCTCATAATTTATTATAGCTATCATAAAAAACATAGCTGCTTGTTATGGTAATTGTGACACAGCTATTAATGCAATAGAACCTTCTCAAAAGTTATTGTTCCACTGTGAAGTGTTCTCAATGGAAATCTTGAAACAAAGATGTGCCATCTGAGCTGACAGGGCTTCAATAAAACATGAAAATGCAGTAATATCTTCCAAACAAGCAGTGCAATAAAAAATATAACCTTTATCTCTGCAAAGTCAATTAACTAAAGGAAAGTTTCATACCTGTCACTTTCCAATAATTTTTCACTGAACGTTTTAGCCATCTCTCCAGGAAAAAATGAGCAGGCTTTACTTGTTTCGTAGCTTCTCTAAGATTCTTGCAGTTTTAAGTGGAGAGAGTAAAAGACCCTCAACAAACACATCCTGCCTGTTAAATTATACCAAAGAATTTTGTTAAATCTTAAAAAAACCAACAATTGTTCACATATTTTTCCTTAGTGGAGGAAATGTATACATTTAAGGACCAGAATCTAGATCCTCTTTCAAGGAGCTCTCCTTTAAAGGATAAAGGAAGGAAATTCCTGTCCATTCAGTATACCACTGATGGTGACGGATAGAAAGAATTTATTTTTTTTTTATCCTGAAAGCACATACACGACATCTCCCCAACCCTTCCTTTATCCACAAGTTGTAGGACGTTAGGATTCTACTTGTCTTCTTCCACTCCCATAGCTACCAGTGCAGGAACCCCACGGCTTACAAAAGTGACCTTGTAGCAGAGCATGAATGACTTCCAGAGGCATCCTCTGTCATTCGGGAGAATCCAAGGCCATTTCCAGCCCTCAGGCTGTTTCTCTGACATTATATCTCTACTCAGGTGTTCACTTCTATGAGTAGGGAGAAGCATGCAAAACCATGCTTAGTATTTTATAAAATGGGCTCTTCTCAATTCTTTGATTTTTGTTTTGGTTTGGGGGTTTTTTACCTTTATGCGACATCGGAGCACTCATTCTTTTTCAACAGTGGCTGAACTATGCAATTTAAGCAATTTCAAACCTTAATAACAATAATTACTAATAGTGCCTTGCATCTACTGATTTCAAAGTTCATTATAAGCCATATCAAAAGCTTTCTTATAGAAGAGGTGAGCCAATGTTCAGCAAGGTTTAGAGCTACATCTGTAGCTGGAGCAAATTGAAGACTTTCAACTGCAATAGGCTTCCAGTGATTTTCATCAGTTGAAGACAAGCAATCATAATATTTACAGCAGATTACATTTTACATTTGTGGAAAAGCAATGGCCAAGTGAAATCTTATGTTGTATATGTCCTCTCCTTTTTTTAGATGTGACAACATGTGGAACAGTAAGAAACTTGAGTACAAGTTTGGAAATCACCTCTAAAGATGTCTGTCTAAAGAGAGGTTGTTAAATCTATATTTCGACACCTAAATAAACCACGCAGTTCAAACCCAGTAAGACTCCAGCAAGTTTGAAAGAAGAAGGTAATTCTTCTTTCAGATGAGAAGCAAAATCAGGTTCTGATCATTTATGATTGCTAATGATCCTGAACACAGTAAAGTTATTTACCTGTATGTTCTAAATAAATTTCAGTACTATCAATCTTTCTGTGTACCTTCTGCTTGCCTGAGATTTTCCAGTACTATAAACCAAAAATATTTTTCATAAGTTACAACTTCATCTTGAAAACCTGATTTATGTATCCAAAAGTAGTCTCACTGATTTGATTTTAAGGTACTCACATGTCAAATGTTTACAAGAACACACTTGGAGCATCACAATCCTAAACCTTTGTACAGTGTTACCATATGCTTCTAATTAGAAGCACCTTCATATATAAGAAGGGACTACATACCTGAAATAATTGTATGTCTGCTATTACACTGAAATAACAGAGGGTAGCTTACAAGCAGTCATCTGGATTTCTTGGGCTGTAAGTTGCTTGAGACGCTTATTATTAATAAATTGCTAAACAACAAAAGAAATTTTCAGAAAGAGGTACTCATTATAATCCTGAGTCATAGTTGAGTCAGTGGAGAGTTTTCTTAGTAAAGAGGGACAAATTTTTTAACAGATACGCAAGAATCTATTTCTCATATTCAAGCTACATTTTGTTGAACAAAATGTCTATCGTGACACTGCTGTTATGAAGTCTTCTAGCTTTATTTTAGAACACTTCAATGATATCATCTTAGACTACTTACAGAAAGTTCACTTCTCTAAGCACTTCTGATCTGTGGCATTTTACATAATTAAATTGTCTTGGTTGTAGTGTAATTAACTTGTCTTGGTTTTAATTAGATTCCCTTGAGTTTTTTTTTTTAATTACTTTGCAACTTGAGGAAAGCCTTATTGTGAACACTCATCTGAAAACCCTGATGTGTTTAATAACATAAGGCCAAGAATATCTGTCTGGGAAAATCTCATCAAATTGTATTTGCAGGCATTCTTATTTCTTTTGGTAAGGTTAATATCAAGCAGCTTACCTTGTCATCCAATTTCCGTGCGCTGAATGAAAGTTCAACGTAGTCATCATTGCCAGACAATTCCTCAGCGATCACCTAAATGGAAAGCTACATTTGAGCTTTGCATGGTGTAATGAAAGGGGAGAATGATGTCACTTTTCAGTGTGAAGACTGTAGACCCCATTTAGGAAAGTGAAGTGTGGTACAAGTTAATATGATTCTCTTTGTCATCAGGAAGGGCTGAGGGCATTCAGCGAATCCCACCCTCAGCTGACAGATGTCACCTTGTTAAGCCCACAAACATGAATCACTTTGTGTCATGCAACTATGCCTTGTCAATCACCTGTCAATGGAGAGACATGAACATCTATCAGGGATCCCTTTTCTCTGACCAAGTACTTCTCAGATTGGACAAGGGAGAATTCTACAGTCTCACAGTGTCCAAGGGGACAAAAATGCTATACAAGACTTGTATTATATGGGTCTAAAGCCCACATAACCAACCAAAACAGCCTTCCTGAGTAAGACATTAAAATGCTTCAGGGGAGAGAATGTATTAAGCAAACCTGGGATACTTCACTGAAAAATGTTCTTTGAAACAGACCATATTATATTCTATTTCACAGCTATAAAACCTTTTCCCTATTGTGAATATTCTCCTCAGAGTTTAAATCTCCCAAAAAAACAATTTTCTCGGTGTTTCATGTCCACGGCCACACACCTGGCAGCCACACACCTGGCAGCCATGTCAGGTCCCCAGCCAGGCTCTGACTGTCTCCACTGCAAGGACTCAAGGTCCTTGGGGAACCACTGGGACACCACAACTATTCTTCAAACCAGCTTGGCAGCTGGCAGCAGCTATTAACTGCACCCCAAAACAGAGGGTTTTGGGGTCCCAAATATGGAGTCCTCATCAGAGATGCACATATTTCAGGAAGGGCAGCAGCTGCCAGAAGCAAGAGACACAAAGGAAGGAGAGGTAGGAGGTGTCAGAGGCCACCCTAAAGAAGATCCAGGAGGAGGCATGGAGAAGAGGACGCTGTTGGGAGCACAGCTGGAGATTCAGTCTCGGAAGGATGAGCTCCATTCTGGAGGAGGCACCTCTGAGAGTGGACTCCCACAGGTAAGCCTACACTGGAGCAGACGTCCTCGAAGGGACTGTGTCCTGTGTGTAAGCTCAGAGCAGAGCTGAGAAAATGAGTGAAAAACAAAGAGCAGCAAAAAAAAAAAAATCACTGTTTTATGATCCTCACCTGTGCCACCTGTCACCTCACCAAAGGGATTGAGCACAACGTACAATGAAGGCAAAGGGAATGAAGACTATGAGAAGGAGGTGTCTGAAGTTGATCACAAGGAAGGGGAAGGAAAGGTATTTTCCCTAAGAGGTTTTTTTTTTCTTATTTGTTTCTCAGTACCCAAATCAGTAGAAGCTTCCGCTGATTGGCAAAAAATTAAATTAAGTAAAATTCCCTGAGTTGAGACTATTCTGGCTGGGACACCTCACAGCAGTGAGCTGTGGTGCTTCTCCATGCAAAATATTTACATGCAGCCTCTTCCAGGCAAACTTGAGCTTGCTGGAAATTTGGCCTGTAGACTTTGACACATTTCTCCTCCATGTAGTCTGATGGTTTAAAATATATAGTTAAGCTGTATAGGACCAACAGTGCTGTGGGATTTGTACACCAACTTTCACAAATACTTTTAACTGAAAATAATGAACCTGCTCTTATGAAGTTTTACATACTTCTAACTGCAGAAGCTGAACTATGTTCTTTTGCACCCACAGCCATATTATAAAATTGTGTGGATGAGACATTACACAGTCAAAGGGCTAATAAAATTTCAGTAAAATATGCCAAGACAGGACCTTTCAAAATCCTATGAAAAACTCACAATTCAGTACACTGAACAAGTTAGGAAATTAGTATGTGTAACTTCCATGCTTGACAATATGACCCCAGGTCTAGAAATAATGATAAATAATCTGGTTTTACTTATTCTGTTGAGAGACCAAAGTTTTCACACAATATTTTTTGTCTGTGTTCAGTTTCTCCCATTTGAGGGAAGTAAACTTGCTCTTTAGTACTGCTGGTGAGAAGCCAAGGTCCCATATTTCATGGTTATCATCCAGTGTTAGGCCAGCAGGGACTATTTTCTCTCATCTTCTGTTTATTACAGTGATTTAATTTTTGCCAGAACACTCCATTAACAAGCCTAATGATTTAGTTGTACTAGAGCATTTGTGTTTGCACAAGACTAAACTTCTTTTTGTTCCTTAAAGAACAGGAGCGGAGTCCAGATCACCACAGGGATGGATGAGATTAAGTATGCCCAGATACGACCCAGCAGCCAAACCACACCAAGTTATTTAGGGAGCAAAACTCTCTCCTGGTTCTATTCAGCCAGAGGAGTGGGGAATTCCTTTCCAACCTCAGCTCAAAAATGAATTTATTGTATGCATTTAAGCAAATTCATTTGCAGCCAAGCACCAAGGAAGATATCTAAGAAATAAAACCTCCTGGGCCCTCTGAAAGCATTATTTCTCGCAGTCTTCTGTCTCTTCTGTGGTCCAAGGTAGAAAAAAAATCCAAGCAATCAAGCCAAAGGAAACCCATCTGGCTTACTGCACATCAAGGAAAAAAATACTTCTCAACCCTGAGAGGCAACAGAGCAGAGATCCCCAAAGCAGAATATTTTATTATAGCTTTTGTCTTAATGCAGAGCTGCAAATGTCACAAGAATGCAAGATTCAGTGCAGACAAGATTGATCTCCCAAACAAACTAGCACAGAGAAGGATGAAATAGAGGTAATACACTGATTTGCAGATTTCAAGATACACATGGAGGTATAACAATACAGCCCATAATTGCACTACCACACAGCTAAAACTAGTCTCATCAAACTTTGGAAGTTGCTGGGTGCATGTGTGTACTTTCTAAGTCTGGTTTTTTTTTTTTATTTTTTCCCACCTTTTTTTTTTCTAAGAACCTGGAAAAAATCCAAGTGAAAATAAACATTAAGCTCCTTCATGTGTCAAAGCAGGTCAAATGAATTTCTGAATGTTCTAGTTCTTCAATTACAAGTATTCAAGCGGTACAAGTTTCTTGCTGTCATCCAATTACCTTAAAAGTGGTAGTAGTAGTAGTAAATATTGTGGCTTTCGTACAAATCATACATTATTTGTTGCCATTTCCTTACATCAAACGTTTAGCAGAAACAGTACAAATAATCAAATAAACAACTGAAATACATTTCTCAATCAAGGGCTGTTCTGGTGACTTAGCAGGATGCTTTTAGGGAAGAATTAGTCACATTAGATGTTTCTAAATAACAGGAAAACAAGAGTGTATTTAAGATTGACTTACTGTTATAGATGACTTTCCTGCTGTGTTGCCATGTTTGAGTAAGGACTTGGAGAGTTTCCTCTGAGAAACAATCTGCACAAAAATAAAAACAAAGGGGAAAATAATTAGAATCTGTAGTAAATACATGCTTTATAGTGATTTCATTTTTTGCTTTTGTATCGAGCGCGTTTCTCAATTCACAATCAGTTAGCACAGTAAGACCATGATTGAGAAGAAAAGTTTCCCAGGAAGCCTGCAGACAGGATGCAATGGAAGATAACAAATGGTTGGGATCAAGCAGAATGAGGAGGACACAATTCACAGAGTTGAACAGAACAGTGAAAAAGACATTATAGATTTTCCTCAAGTATTGCAGTGATGGTGACAGAGCACAGAAGTAAGGTTTAAATATACTTAAAAGACAATACGAAGGGATAATCTACAGAGATACCTTCAAACTAACTTATTTTTATAGGAAACTGAAATCTGTTTACAAAGAGAAGGCATTTATTTTATTTCAAAATATCAATAACTCTAAATTCAGGACAGAAGCAAGCAATCTGCCCCACAGTTTTAGTTCCAAAATTGTCTTCTTTGCTTACCAGGTACCGGACCTCCCGTAGAACTCAGCACTATAAATAAACTTGTTCATTAACAAAATTATAAATGAACTTCAAATAAATGTTAGCAGAGTGATACTGACAAAAGATGTTATTTGCCATATCAGTAATAACTATAATTCCCTTATAATTTTGAAACATTTAAAACTAGATAAATAAAAACATAATAGAACAATTGCTAGGCTACAGTGATGTTCCAGCATATTAAGTCCCTCTTCTTTGTAAACTTAATGCTGTATCAATTTATTTTTAATTGGAAAACTTCAAAATGTAGACAGATGTTAAAGTAGCTCAAAACACAGTTTAGAAATCACAATATTATTTTTAATGTGACAAAACTGTAGTAGGATTGTGCTGTGCAGATACTGAGAAAAGATTGCTGTGTCCTAGGAGAAACCCTAGCCTCTTGAAAATTGTTTTTATGCTAGAAATAGTCCTTTCCACATCCAACATTACTTGAACAACTTCATAGGATAAACATGTTTGGCAAAATATGCCTGGGCATCATCCACATTTCAGCAACAAAGCACATCAGTAGGTAATGGCCAGAGCTGGAGGAGTGAGTAATGCAAAGTTGCAGCCAGGCAAAAAAAAGGGCTGTGAGACAGGAGTGAATAGGATGATTTTAGCCTGACATCACCACATGGAAACATGTTTGTCCTGCCCATCAGTTTGCTGAATTGAACAGAAAAGCAAAGGCAGCACCTCAGATTACCCTCAGCTACTATTTTGATGGAAGTAGCAAGACAGAAGCAAGTTTTAAACAGGCTTTAAATATGAGATAGGAGAACCATCACAGGCCTGGACAGCACACCCAGAATCACTGTGTCCAGCTTCTCATTTCTACTGCAGCTATACCTGGCAGATGTGTGTCTAATTAGAGGCAGAGGGAAATACCCTCTCCTGGAAATTTATTACTCTATTCATTATCCTTACTGTAAATATATTTTCCTAACAGCTAATCCAATTCTCTGCAGTTTAAGTCCATTATTTCCACCTAACGCACCATAAATAAGCAAAATAATCTTTTTCCCTTTGTCCTTCAGGCAATCTGAAGACTCTCCATAGTCTTCTTTAATACAGAACCTGAGTTTGTCCTATCTTTCCTTTTTGATGAAACTTTGTAGCCCTCAAACCATTCTCTCTATTCTCTGATGACCCTTCATGGACTGGCCCATAGACACTCTTACAATAATGCTCAAAATTGTGCATAATAGCCCTGGTCCTTCCTATGCAAGAAGAGCTTCTCATTTCAAGGCTGACGCACTTCAAAATTGCATTTGACTTACTTAAAGAACACTATGATACTGTTAACAATGATTATTTTTGGACCATTTTGCATTGCCAGCTGTTTCTTACCCTGCATTTTTACACCTGGCTATTACTTAAGTGAATAATTTAACACTCCTTTTTGGATTGCCTTCCATAAAGCAGTTTGCTGCCATCATCTCACTCAGTTTTCCAAATTAACTTTTGGATTTCAACACTAGTGTTGATCAGTGGTACCAACAGACAGAAGTACAAGTAAGATTACAAGTACTGCCAGGATTCAGAAGTCCTTTTTCTTCTCTAGCATCTTGGAAATACTGTTTGCTGTGACCACTTAAGTTGCCCATACATAAGTTGTACATTCAAGTAGAAATCATTGTATTCTGGTGAACAATGAGGTGCAATTTAAAAAACTTTGTTTGAGATTCTCAGATGGCAGGTAATACAGAAATGTGACAGATTATTCTTAATATATTATTAAACTATGGGTTGTGTACCAACTAGACAATGAATTATGGCAGCTGGGGAGCAGAGCCCATTCATCTCTATGATCTCTCCTCCTCCTTTCCCCAGATGCACAGACAACTTTGTAAAATACATGAAGTTTTTCCACTGAAAGCTGTGGGTATTTCTACCAGAAGCTTTTTCAGATATCTTATATATATATATAGCCATGGCATGAGATAGAACTTGGATGGGAACCTGCCCTTCAGCTAGCCTCCTTTAGAGATAGCAGGACTTTGCCTCCCCTAAACTACCCAAATATTTACAGCTCCCTTTGCAGCTTTCAAAAGGGTCACAGCTTTCAAGAGACAGAGGTTGAAGCTCAGGAGCTCCTGTGCAGGTGGCAGATAGATGGCTTGCAGTTCCAGAGAAGATAATTTATTCTGACATTCTCATTAGTAGACCGCATTAATAACACTCACTCTCTAAGCCATTAGCATCACTGTGACACAGTAAGCACTCTGAACATGTAAATATGTGTATTTGGGTGCAATCGTTTACCAGTTGTTAATTAAGTGGCCAGTAAAATGAATCCTCCATCTGGCAACAATGTGCCAACATTGTTGCCTCAAACTGTCATTGCAAAAACTGTCAAGGAAGCAGTAGCAGTAGCAGTAAATTGCTGTTTTTGTTCATGCACTGTACAGACCGGGTCTCCTTATTAAAAGAACCATTTCTATGGAAGCCATCAATTATCTATCATATTATTTGTTAATGTATCAATGTAAAACTTATTCTGAACATTGTCATAAAAAGCATTTTCTGACCTGATTGGCAGAGAGCAAGTACTAAACAATGATAACTTGAGGGCTAGGAAGCATTAATCTAAGTTCAGAGTTACAGTGATGGCTGAACTGGCAAGATGTCTTACAAGAATTTAATTTACTACAGGTCTTCCATTTGTCAGGAGTCTTTGGTTTGACTCCGATTTCAAAAACTCGCAAATTAAAACTTCAGCTTCAGAGAAAAAAGGGTTTTGTCTAAAAGTGATGTATAGAAGTTCTTTCTAAAACACAAATGGTAGAATCCAGTTCAGCCCTAGTAAACCTCATTACATTTCCAGAACATGTATTTTCATGAACATTTTATTAGAAACATGACCAATCAGTGAACAAATGGATGTAGAAACCTGTCCTAATTGAGGCTGGAATAGAGTTACTTTTCTTCTTAGTATCTGGTATAGCACTGTGTTTTGGATTCAGTATGAGAATAATGTTGATAAAAAACTGATGTTTTGGTTGTTGCTAAGTAGTGCTTACCCTAAATCAAGGACTTTTCAGTTTGCCATGCTTTGCCAGTGAGGAGGTGCACAAAAAACCAGGAGGGAGGCTAGCCAGGCCAGCTGATTTGAACTTGCCACAGTGCTATTTCATAGCATAGAACACCCTCTATACAGAGTATGATACTTCATAACATAGAACATTTCCCTATATAAACTGGGAAGAGTTGGCTGAGAGCTGTCAATCACTGCTAAGGAATGGGATGGGAATCAGTCAGCAGGTGGTAGGTAATTGTATTATGCATCTCCTGTTTCTCTTGGGTTTTATTTTTCTCTTTCTCTCCTTTTAATTACAGCTAATATTATCGTAATAATAATAATATCTTAATTTTTTTAATTATTAAACTGCTCATATCTCAATCCATAACGTTTACCTTTTTTTTCTGATTCTCTTCCCCACTAGGGCAGGGACAGGGCAAGGTGGGTGTGAGCAAGTGGCTGCATGGTGTTGACAGCTGGGGTTAAAACACAGCAGTCCTTTTTGGTGCTCAGTGTGGGGCTCTTAAAATAAGACCTCAGAATTTCAGAGGTGAGACTAAGAGAAGTGAAGTTTATTTGCAGCTACAGACACATACAAACTACTACCCAGTTCTGGTCTAAGAGTGCCACATGTCCAATAAAACATATCATACTGAATATGTTTGAAAGGTGTGGAAATAGAACAGAATGTAAAAGCCACTGCTCTGTTTCTGAGAAGGATGTGCACATTAAGTTATTCCTATTTACCAAATACGCAATCATTGCAACAGAACATCATCTTGATTAGTTTTCTGATCTCTGGTGCTAAGGGCTATCAGCTCTGTGGTAAGATGGGGGTGGGAAATTCCCTTAAAGATGATCTTAATTTGCCTTATTACAGGCAAGCCTACATAGGTTAAGGACAGGTCTGGACAGATGCTCAATATTGCTGTAATGAAGTCTGGATTCACATTACCATATGATCTTATTTCCAATTTAAAATATGTAAAAGATGCTTTGCTTTTTTATTATTATTTTAAAAGTATAAACAGATGCAAGACTCTCGATAAAAGTACCAAGGCGCTGACACCAGCTGTGTACCATGCACTGCTCAGCAGTGACTCAGAGACAAGGACTCTGCTGAAGGTTTGCTCTCTCCTATGCCTGAGTCGTGACTAATCAGCACTGTGTAAGATGAGCTGTGAAATGTAATGACCCATTTTACCTGGCTTGTTTAAGAAACTTTTAAAATATATTTCTCTATGTGGTCCTTTCTTAACCAAATATAGGGATGAGTTTCAGTAATATCATACAGAATTCCCAATGGTCATAAATCAAGCTAATGAGAAGATTTCAATTTAGCTTTTTAACCAAATTATTTGAAAAGCATTGATTCGGCTTTGCAAGGTGACAGAAGTCAAGTGTCTCAAATTCTTTACTGGGACTGGCCTCTTCTGCATATT